ATATTTAATTTAAAAAACTAAATATATCTAAATATTTATACTCAAAAAAATTTAAGTTAAGATTTTTTTACTTATAAAAAACTTTTGCAATTATAAGAGAATGAGGGATTAATATTTTTTTTTTTTATCTATAAGTAGCTTTTACATCTAGATAGTGCAATCCTTTTATTGATATTTAATTTAAAAAACTAAATATATCTAAATATTTGTGCTTAAAAAAATTAAATTAATATTTTTTTACTTATAAGTAGCTTTTGTAATTATAAGAGAATGAGGGATTAATATTTTTTTTTACCTATAAGTAGCTTTTACAATTATAAGTTTTTTTTATTATTTTTAAATAACTTGAAGCATTTTTTTACTTATAAGTAACTTTTTATATTCTAGATAGTCTAATCTTTTTATTAATATTTAATTTAAAAATAAAAATAAAAATTAAAAACTCTTAAAAGATGGGGTTGGGATCGCTATTCATTTTTGTCACTTGAGTTTTCACACTTGCTTGGTTTGTACTATTCATTAACTGATTCACAAAATGTCCCTTAAAAGTGGATTTTACTCTCTATCGCTTTCATTTCTCCATGACAAAGAAAATCCTACCACACTGATTCTCAAAATCTGAGATATTGAAACTCGAAGGGTCGAAGAAGAGATCTTGAGAAGGAAACTGCAGTATGAAGTGAGAAGACAATCTGCAGTAGTTGATTAACTGAAAGCATTGGATATGCGATTTGGGCAAAAAAAGATTTGGTGGTTATTGATTGTTATTTAGTTTCTATATTATTTGCATTCAGCGTGTTTCATTATTGTTTAAAAATGTTTGATATCTTTAAACCTTATCTATGTTTAACTAAAAACTTTAGAAATTATGCTGACTGATGCTCTAACTTTCTTTTATTTTGCAGCAGGGCCTTGGGAGTGTCCATATCAATGTTTTATAAAGCGTGACCAGAAGAATGCAACATTTTACCTCTATCTTGTTCTTTCACCATGTAAGTAAACTTTTGTTGGGAGTTTCTAAGATAACTTATAAATTGAAATTTGCTTGTGTACCAAATGATATTAATTTAATCATTTTTCTATCTTGTGAATTGACTAAGTAAAACCTTGCAGTTTAACATCTATAGTTAAGAGAATCGTTAAAAATCTGTTGGGTTATTAGTCTTAATATCTCGTGAGTGGAGACATCATGTTTAATGTTTGCTAAGTATCTTGACTTGGTCCGTTAATTTTTCTTCATTTCTTGCGCCATAATGACTATTTTTAATGCCATATAGCAAACCTTATTGACTATTTCAAATGTCATGACAAATATTTATGCTACTATTTCAAATATTGTAGCTCAACTAACATTTTAAGGAGTCCTTCATACTTTTTTTTAAAACAAATCTCACTAACTTTTGTCATGTAGTTCGATATTCGGCTAGCATTTGAAACTGGAGCCTTTGTGTCAAGAGAAAAAGTCGACATGGAAGAAAGAATTGAATTCCATACTATAAATGCTCGTGGCTTGATATTTATACATTTTATTTCTAAATAGCTAGACAATTACATACTATCAATTCTAATTGTAATGCAATACATATATGTTAATAGAGTATGATAAATGATTCTTTTATCACCTATCAATGAAAATGATGAAGGCGACATACTATAACCTAATATATTTAACACACTAACATTACGTTCAAAATAATTCAATCCGTGCATTGCACCAGCAAAGACTAGTCCTACTTTAAAAGAGAGGGTCCATTTCTATTGTTCATTTTTGTCGTAGCATTCACATTAGGCTGGTTTGGAATTGGTTCAGCACTATTCACTAAAAAAAGAATAAAGGATGCTGTGTAATAATTGTATTGTTCAACTTTTTTTTTTTTTTTTTACACTGTTGTTTTTATTCATCTGATGATTTCTCATCCAACCCTACTCTCCATCGTCCTCTTGCAAAATTAAAAAATCTCTCCCCAAAAATATCAATTCTAACTGTGAAATTGAAATCCTCAGAAGATCGTTTAATCTTTTTTTCTCTATTATTGTTTGAATATCTTTCTTTTTGTTGTTAATCGCTTGTTTCTTTCGCCCCTCGCTTGGTTCAAATTCGACGAACAAGAGGAAATTTTTCATAGAAAGTATACTGTAACACCTTTATCCTACTTTATCTCTTGCCTTTTGTTGAGTATGCTTTTTTGATTTCTATATTCCTATTTCTCTTCGATCGATCTCTACTTTGTGTTTAGGATTTTCTAAATTGTATTGAGATTTTCTGTCATCTCCATCTTTTGCTTGTTCTTTTGTGTATTTGTTCGATTTTTAGATCTGCATTTTGTTAATTATTTTCGTGTTGGGGTTTTTTCGAACTCTGTACGAGTTTCTATTTCATTTTTTCCATCTCTTCTTTCTACATGTGTACATCTTCGGCTTTTTTCTTACCTCTATTTTATTTATTTTATTATTTGTTTTATATGTTTTGGGCTTTTCTCAGATTTGTTCTACATGGTTAAATTAAATTTATTCGAGTTGTTCACATGAAAAGTTCCATTGGAAGTAATTTTTCGTAAATAATTGCTCCTTTAAACTATAGTAGGCTTCTAGGGGGATTTCTTTCTAAATTTAATGATGCCCGTTTTGGAAGAGACTCAAAATTTATACTTGAACAAGGATTCATCATTTAGAGGTAATTCCTTTACTAATATTTACTACCATATGTTATTCTACTTGCCAAAATAAATTATTCCTCTTCGCCGTGTTCTTTACCAATTTCTTGTCATTTCAAATTCTGTCCTTAAAATATTTATTGCCTATATTGCTATAACTGATTATGTATCGCTTGACATCTTCGACATCTGTTTCCATTTACATTGTCAAATGCTCGTTACATCCATTCATTATGAAATTACTAAATTAACTATTGCTTTTGTTGTTGTATGAGGCAGTTGTTAAATAATTTCAAGCTAGATGTGAAAAAACCAATTTTCCTGTGATCGATATAGTAAGTATTCATGATCAATTTCCATTTCAAATAAGTTATTATTATTCAATATTACTTCCAATATTGTAAACTGATTATTAATGTATCATAACTGTTGAACTACTTAAAATTTATTCCTTTCAAAAGTAGCCTGGACGATCCATTTCACATGTTTAGCTGAAATTAGAATTTGTGGTGTAGTTTTCACATACTTTTAAAAATTAATATTATTTTCACATAATGGATAATTATTTATTATGAGATTGTTAAAGAGTTTCTTTTGCTTCTCAATTCTAATTATTGGCTATTCATCTTTATTGACTTCAAGCTGTTATTAAGAAGAAATGTAGCTTAAATGCTACCAATGTTGGTAAAGAGGTTGGCTTTGCCCCTAATATTTAGGTTGAACGTTTTATTTTGGTGGTTTTACTTTCTCGCCCTTCAATTTCTACAATAGACATTTACAGTATTATGTTTGTTCAATTTCAAGAGAACAAAGGTCTTCAATTGATCAAGACAACCATTGCTAAAGTAGGTTATACAGCAAAAGTTCCTTCTTCCCTTTTCTTTTCACGTATGTGTTCAGTTCATTCAATGTTCTATAATCACCTTGTATTTCTTCTGTCTTCACCTTGTGAAAGAGTAAAACTTCTAAGGCTTGCTCCTTCCTTCTACTCAAGTTGTCATTGGAATAATGTTGCTGCATCAGAATTTTATAGATTGGACAAGACTTATGATTTGAAATTGTCAAGGCAATGGATGCAAGCAATCCTGGTAATTAATGCTAATTGTTAGTTTTAATACAATTTTTTTTCATTATTGGTTCTAAATTGTTTAAATTAAACATATTTACTTTAGTTGACAATTTGATTCTAATCAATAAAATCTAACATAACTATCCTCTTCAATAGTCATTTAAGCTCAATTCGTATTATCGAAGGTTCTGACTACATTAGGATATCAAAGCAGCTTTGAAAATCAGGTCTACTCCAAATTCATTCTGATTTCAAATGCTTAACTAATTTATTTTTTGAATCTGGCAGCTGATCTTGCCTTTTTTGCAGTTGGATATAAACTACTATGACCTTGGCCTTCCCCAGTGGGATGTTACTAATGACTAGAAAACCATTCAAGTTGCATAAGCTACTTTTAAGTTTGACATCCTATGTTCTCGATTTTGAATAAATATTGAACTTCTAATAATAGGGCTTCAATATCTTCATTTTCTCATTTGCTTCACAATATTTGCAGTAGAGATAAAATTTTCAACATCTGTATTTTTAAGTTTTCTATTACAATTTTCGTAAATATTTATTCGTTCTTCTTCTTAGTTGATAGTTGTTTTGTACATTGAAAATGTTGGCTCAATTTAGTAATTAAATGTGCCACCATTTCTCCTGGTAGGCACAACTCATCTTAAATTGTTCGATGCTATGCGTCATTTTATCTTTAAATTATGAATCAGATCATTATCCTTTCTACACATTAAGGCTTTGTTTGCCTATCATTATACAATATTGTTTTTTGTACAATACTCATTTTTAACCACATATTCTTCAATAAAAAAATATTACACGTAAATAAAAAAATTTCCTTCTTTTTGAACCACACATTTCAATATCAATTACTGTTCTATGATATATTCTTCACAAATAATGGGGCACAAACATCCCCTAATAAAAGAGGAAATGTGGTGTGCACTGTTCATTTTTGTCCCCTCCTGTTCATCAAAATATATTTGGTATATATTATATATATGTCTTTTGTACCTCTTGTAAGACCATTTATACCTTCCTAATCTCTCCAAAGAATCGTAGGCAGCCATTAACTCCGATAGACTTCAACGACGAGGACGACAAAGACGAAGACATGACGAATAAGGTTTCGGCGCGATACCTGGTGTTGGATAAGTTTTTGTTTTGGGTTCTCTATTTTCCTTCTTTCTAATCTTACTTTCTAAGTTTAGTCGACATATTTCTTTGCTTAAATTTGCAGGTTTTGAGTATATATGATATCTGGGCATCTCATAAATAGCTTAAATAGTTCTTTAGTTTTGGGAATTCCATATTCTGATTTTTTGAGGTAACTCTTTTACCTTTGTTTAGATGTTTATTCTTTGAAAAAAGCATTTAACAACTTGGACTAATTCTATATTTGTTCCTTCCAGATAAGGAAAAAAAGGATGTGAAAGAATATATTTTTCTTCTAAGTTGATGAATCTCCTTTATTGATCAATATGTGATATTCCAACTCCTCATCACTACTGAAATCCATATGATATTGCGATTAATTCGTTCTTGCCTAAATTCAATTGCTCAAACAAAAGTAGATCTTCATCCTTTATTTGTTTTTTTCCTTTCTTTTCTATTTTAACTGATTGAATATCATTTCTTAATGCATTTGGTTAATTTTGGGGTTTCACTTGCACGCAATAGCCTATATTGAAGGAGACAAGTACTACGGGGCAAAAAGCAACTATTAATGTTTGGGAACCTAAAATATAGCACCATCATAACGAGTTCAATTTGTCCCAAATTTGGTTACTGGGTGGTTCATTTGGTAAAGATCTCAATAGCATTAAAGCTGGTTGGTAGGTAAATTTTTCTCCAAATTACTTGGTCGATCATAATTTGTTGCATTAATCTAACGGATTAGAATGCATGTTATTTCAAGTTAGCCCCGATGTCTACGAGGATAACAACACAACCATTTTTGAGTACATACCTATAGACAATTTAAAAAAGAATGCCAGCTCTTATTAAATAGAAGTTAATTATAAGTACAAAAACTCGAAGAAAGCATTTAATGAAGGTTCTTAACAGTTAGTCTTGTGTTTTTGGAGTACGCTTATATTATGTGACAATTATGTTTCTCTTCCAATCCAATTTAGCACATAGAATAAAATCTCAAGCATAAATAAAATAGTTAATCCCTAAGCAAGCTGGAGTATAGTACGAATCATGCTATAAATTTCTATGTCAAAATTATTTTTCTCATAGTTGGAGTTTTTTTCATGGGACAAGCTTTGAGAAATCGTGTGGCAATGATGAGAGAAGAGAAAGAAAATCTGATTTTGGGAATTCTTAAAATGAAAGAAGGATGAGAATTGATTATTTAAAAATGAAAGCGATGAACGTGCCTTCAAAGTCAAGCATTCACTCAAGAAGAGCGGCAAAAGTAAGAGTGGTGTTAGTGGCAACTTTGTTTCATTTGAGGATATTTGGGATGTTGATGAGCTGCAAGCTATTAAGGCATTTCGACGAGCCTTGATGCTAATTGTCAAACAAGTTTGATGATTATCATATGATGTTGAGGTTATTTTACAACACTTTTGCCACTTTTAGTCAAATGTTCGCATGTACGGATGGAAATATAAACTGTATCCTGGTTTAACATGTAGACGTCCTGATTTTGTCCTCATTACTATGGAGGTAACTAGTCACCCCTTCCTCCTTTAGTAGGACAATTTATGATTTTGCTGCATTACTTTATAATTTTTCCTATATTGTAGTCGGTAGTTAAGGTTTGAGGGATTGCATTTAATAGTCTTTCCAGATAAGTTATTTTTATATTTCTTGTAAACATTTTAGTATATAGTTGGAAAAGTACGCAACTATTTGAACTTTTGTCGATAATTATCCTGAAGTAACATTTTGATCATTTATTTGATCAAAGATATTAGGTTTTGTGTAGTCTTGGTAGTGTAATATATTGTATCCTCCAAATGTTGCAGACATTTCATAAAATATTTATCATCAAGATGGTCGAAGTATTATGCTACCGTAGAATATTGTAAAGAGTTTTTTTGATCTCAGGGCCACCACTAAGATACATGTATGTTGCTATTTCTTCCTTTTTCCATATGTAAGCATTATTTTTTCTCACTTAAATGGCCGACTTTAATTACTCGGTCTATCTTCTTTTTGGAATATCTCACATGTACTTGGAAACAAATATAGGAATAAGTTGCTTAAAATAAAAGATATCAAGTGCAAAACAATGGAAACCGTTGTTGTAACTTGCGAACATTGAAATTTATTTCGAGATTTTGACGTAAATTTTTGGGGTTGTGTAGTGATCAGAATTCTTTGGTGGAAAGGCCAAGGGGTTTGCCTTCGGTCAGATAGAGGACCATGCAAAAATTCCGAGATACAAAAGGTCATTCCTAACATGGGAGCTATTAAATTGACCTACAAAGATCATATATAAATACTTGTGTTATAATTTTGATCATGTTAAAAAATAATAAATGGCTCGAAATCATGTTACAGATGGTGCTTGATGGTGAAGCACGACTGGCAGGAAGGTGGTTGAAATTCTTAACGACGACAAAGAGATAGTTTATGCTGAGCAACACTACTTGATTGTATAGACTATGTCTGTTGTGCATATGATTAGGCACAACTGCACAATATTTCTGTTTTATGTGAGATTTTTTTTTTATTTAGTTGTTGAAGCAGGTAAAGGCAGTGACACCTCAACTGTTGAATCTGGTTCTGAAGCTGAAAAATATTTCTTCACCAAAAGCTATTCAGAGTTACTCGCACCTTTGATTGACTCATGTTCGTGAGGAGGTATGGTCAAGCCTTACAATTTCAAGATTAGATATTTAATTATCTGCTATTGAAAATAATGTTTTTTATAATTTTAATTGAATTCTCCCTTATTTAATGTTGAGTCTAGTGGTAGCTTGTGCAAATATTTAATTTGGTGCTTGTAGGTCAGTTAGTGTTTGCTTAATTGCAACACAAGTGCAAAATTATCAATTGCTTAATATCGTCTCTTTGATTGGTTTAAAAGCATCTGTGTATATCCTAAAAAGGTGTCCAGTTACATGGAATTCAAATTTTTATAGGTCGGGTTGTGCAATCTTTTGCTACTAAAAAAATCAAGTAAAGTGACATTATTCAATAGTTCATTAGTTGTTTGATAATTATTATTTATAATGTCTATCATTTTATTTATGATATAAGGTACAAATTCTTCATGAAATATAACTAAGCATACAGTTTCTTGTAAGAAATATTGCTTTCCTATAAAACTAATTTTCCTTACTTAAGAAAGGATAACTTTACCATGTACAGTGTCTTCTTTATTCCAAAAGTCTCGTTGGTCAACATTTTATGAACTCAATGTAAAGAGAGACCCACTATATATAGAACCATAGAACACAGCAGAAATGTGTTGACACTTTCTCAATTCCTCACAAAAATTAACGTGGAGGATCAACCTTTCTCTTCTAATTATCTCAAGTCCTTGTTTCTCAGGTTAAAGCTAATGGAAACTCTAGCTCGGCAACTTATCACGATATGATGAGTACGTTCCTATGGTTGACAAAGTTGTTGATTCTGGATGGAAAAAGCATAAATCACTTTCAAAACCTTATATTTTTTAAGGTTAGTTGCTTTAGAAGTTCCATTTTTGTATCTGTCTCCATACATAATATTTGAATCAGTCTATGATCTTCTCATGCTTATTTATTCATCTAATACTTGCTTCGAAGACCTAGGGGGTCTTTTTTTCTTCGGTTGAACCGATCTTTCTATCATTGCAAACGTCGCCTTAGGTGCTCATTTTTATTCTTATAACTCTTATCATATGTTGATCATGTTTAGAGGTTATCTATGATTAACTTATGATTGTTCTTTTGTTAATAGCTATGCCTTAATAACATTTTGTTATATCCTGATATTAAATGACCGCTATATTGGAGATATAAGATTAGCTATGTCTAAATAAGATTACAATGACAATAGATTAGTAACTATTTTTTGATTGCATAGTATATGATTTTTCCCCTCTTTGATTTTTATATCTCCAGGTATAAGATAAGAGAGAAGGAAAAAATTGTTCAAGCATATTCTTCTTAGGATCTTGAAGAAATTTTTGTAAGTTTATTTGTATTAAATTGATCCTATATCAATTATTTATAGAAATTATTCTCAAAATAAACGCTCCATTATTTTACCGGATCCATTTTATGTGACTATAATATTTTCCATATTCTAAATGTGTTGGCTACCAAATATCCTGATTAGGATTGAGGTAAGATTGGTGTTATCTATAATCTATGTACCATAATTAATTTTATTAATATTCTAGTTAAGCCACTTTCTAATTTCAAATTCTACACTATGTTTTTCAGAGCTTTGGTAAAAGAAGAGGATGCTTGATAAACCCATCTAAGAAACTGGAAGGAAAATGACTTTTTACAGGCACAAGAAAAGAAACTTATTGTGGAGATTAAAAAAAATGTAAAGCAAGGACAGATGGTAAGTTGTTCTCTATAGTTAATTCCATTTCAGTTTCTTAGACTTTATGGCTCTCTTTTCTCCCATAGGCCCCATCCGCTTTATTGCCCAGGTTGCTCCCATAAAGACATTTTGAAAATCGTTTTTGATTAGATTGATTTTAAAGATAGATTCATTAATGATAATTTAGTGAATTTTCATCTTCATTATATGAACCATCTAGAAGAAATCAGATAGAAATAATTTTATTTTATAACTTCAATGAAAATTCAATGGAATATTATTGTGTTTACTCTCTCTCTCTCTCTCTCTCAAAAATGTGGTATCCACAAGTTATGCCCCTATTTGATTCTCATTAAAATGAGAATACTTGACCAAAAAACATTTTCCCACAATGCCGATGAATTAAAATTTTTAGATTTGTCAATATACTTGTGAGATGAACAGGAAAAGTAAAATGCTCATTGAAAAGTCAATACCAGAAATACCCTGCTTTGGCCAATTAAAATTACACAAGTACCCTAAACCCATTACCAAAAGGGCATGCTGCTTTGAAAATGACATAAAAATGGGGCCATAAGTCATTGAGTGAAACATCCATTTTGAATACATTGGAGCTCATGAGACAAATTAATGGTCCATAAAACCTGAAAAATAGAAAGAAAGAAAGAAAGAAAATGATTGAGACAACAACTTGGTAGCCAAAAGAGATCAACACATTTTGTAGTTCTAATTTCTAAGGCCATCTCCAATTGGTGCCCTATTGCACCATTTTGGTGCAAAATGGTACAACAATGTTCATTGCACCATTTGATGCTTTTTGTTGATCAGGCGACACCTGGATTTGAACTGGGAAAAAAGGATTCTATGCGCAGACGTTAAAGCTAGAACAGGCCATTCGCCAGGGAGATTCTGAAATTGTAGAGGCTTGGTTTGATCAAGCAGTGACATAGGTGTTATGAGTAGAATTTTGTTCATATCTTAGTTCTAGGAATTTACTCATCTTCCATGAAGGAGTCGAATTCGTTAGGTATGGATGATGAGATTCCATCGATACATAGCCAATTCCAATAGACTTATTGGGGGGTTCCATTAGCGTGTATTCGGGTCGTGTCTCAGTCCCAGTGTGGCTGATCGTCTGAAAAGACCAGCTAAGCATCAAGGGGCCCGCTATGCCAAAAACGAGAGAAACCCCATCCTTGTATCTTTCGAGTCATGCCCAGAATGAGTACTTTATCCTTGAGATCTATCCAAAGTAGTTTCTGCCCCTTCTGGCAATATCGTAATTAATGAGTTGATTCTTTCATCAATACTCATTGAATGAGACATCCATTTTGAATACATTGGAGCTCAATGAGATAAATTAATGGTCCATAAAACCTAAAAAATAAAAAGAAATAAAAAAAATGATTGAGACAACAACATGGTAGCTAAAAGAGATCAACACATTTTGTAGCTCTAACTTCTAAGGTCATCTTCAATTGGTGCCCTATTGCACCATTTTGGTGCAAAATGGTACAACACTGTTCATTGCATTATTTGATGCTTTTTTATTGATCAGGCGACACCTGAATTTGAATAGGGGAAAAAGGATTCTATGCGCAGTCGTGAAAGCTAGAACAGGCCATTCGCCAGGGAGATTTTGAAATTGCGGAGGCTTGGTTTGATCAAGCATAACATAGGTGTTATGGGTAGAATTTTGTTCACATCTTAGATCTAGGAATTTACTCAGTTTCCATGAAGGGGTCGAATTCGTTATGTATGGATGATGAGATTCCATTGATACAGAGCCAATTCCAATGGACTTATTGGAGGGTCCCGTTGGCGTGCATCCGGGCTGTGTCTCAGTCCTAGTGTGAGTGATCATCCGAAAAGACCAGGTAAGCATCATGGGGCCCGCTATGCCAAAAATGAGAGAAACCCCATTCCTGCATCTTCCGAGTCATACCCGAAATGAGTACTTTGCCCTGGAGATCTAAATCCAAAGCAGTTTCTATCCCTTATGGCAGTTATAGGAATTAATGAATTGCTTCTTTCATCAATACTCATTGAATGAGACATCCATTTTGAATACACTGGAACTCAATGAGACAAATTAATGGTCCATAAAACTTGAAAAAATAGAAAGAAAGAAAAAAAAAGTGATTGAGACAACAACGTGGTAGCCAAAAGAGATCAACACATTTTGTAATTCTTACTTCTAAGGCCATCTCCAACTGGTGCCATGTCGCACCATTTTGGTGGAAAATGGTACAACACTGTTCATTGCATTTTTTGATGATTTTTATTGATCAAGCGACACGCAAATTTGAATAGAGGGAAAATGATTCTATGCGCAGACGTGAAAGCTAGAACAAGCCATTAGCTAGAAAGATTCTGAAATTGTGGAGGCTTGGTTTGATCAAGCAGTGACATAGGTGTTATAGGTAGAATTTTGTTCACATCTTAGATCTAGGAATTTACTCATCTTCCATAAAGGATCCGAATTCGTTATGTATGGATGATGAGATTCTATTGATACAGAGCCAATTCCAATAGACGTATTGCAGAGTCCCATTGGCATGCATCTGAGTTGTGTCTCAATCCCAGTGTGGCCGATCGTCCGTAAAGACCGGCTAAGCATCATGGGGACCGCTATGCCAAAAGTGAGAGAAACCCCATCCGTGCATCTTCCGAGTCATGCCCGGAATGAGTACTTTGCCCTTAAGATCTATCCAAAGCAGTTCCTGCCCCTTCTGACAGTTATCAGAATTAATGAGTTGCTTCTTTCATCAATACTCATTGATTGACACATCCATTTTGATTACATTGGAGCTCAATGAAACAAATTAATGGTCTACAAAACCTGAAAAGTAGAAAGAAAGAAAGAAAGAAAAGCATTGAGACATGTGGTAGCCAAAAGAGATCAACACATTTTGTAGTTCTAACTTCTAAGGCCATCTCCAATTGGTGCCCTATTGCTATGGCTGGGCAAATCTCTCGAACCGAACCGATCAAACCCTAACCGAACCGAACCGAACCCGACGGTTCTTGTCAAATTAAATACCCGAACGGGTATCTGAATTGAGAACCGACGGGTACGGTTCGATTCTCGGTTCTAGACCAAGAACCGAAAAATCGGATAAGAACCAAATATTTCTAATTTTTTATTTTTTTATATTGAGTAAATCAAATTATTTTAATATAATTTTTTCTAAACAAATTACCAAATCAATGATTTCTAAATCCAAATTTTTGGCCCAATAATTTGTTTCATTTCTAATTTTTTTAATTTTTGGCCCAATTACCCATTTTATTGTTTCATTTCTTAGCCAAACAAGATCAAATCCACTAAATAACCCTAAACACCTACAATAAAGTGCATAATATTGTCTCGACTCTCACACTCACTCTCGCAGCCTCGCTAATATTCCAAAACTTATACAATCGTCGGCCGACACTATGACCTCCGATCGAAGCCGTGACTTTCGCCGACCGAAGTTTTGATCGTAGCAATCATTTGAACAAGGTAGTTTTCTAGTCTCTGACATTCCAAAACCATTGAATATATCATTAGTCGTATTTATATAATGTTGTTATAAATGTTAAAAAATTTAATTATAGTACAGAATCGAACGGAACCGAACTGAACCTAACTGAATCGAATGGAACCGAACCTGAACGGTTCCATAATTATATTTGGACCCGACGGTTTCATTTACTAGATACCCGAAAAGTTTGGTTCGGTTCGGTTCGGTTCTAAAGAGAACCGAACTGAATCGAACCGACCCGTGCCCACCCCTACCTATTACACCATTTTGTGCAAAATGGTACAACACTGTTCATTGCACCATTTTTTGCATCAAATGGTGCAATGTCCGTTTTGATCTTTTCTTGCATCAATGGTACAATAGCTATCACGTCCAATCTGATCATTAATCTAGCCAAAGCACTAGGTCAGTAGGTAACTTGTCAATTGATAAAATATTGCAGAGTCTGAAGGTGATTTATTTATTTATTTTCAAAAAAGGGGGGCATAGATATAACTATGAGTTTTTCATATAACTTCTCTCTCTCTCTCTACACACACACACACACACACACACATATATATATATATAATTTTTTTTTTTGAAAAATATCTAAAAAGTATGTGATGTATGTTTCGTGGGTTATGTTACATGTAGATTATGGTATTCATAAGGATGTCCATAACGTACACTATTTTCCAACCCTGCAAAGATGTTATGCCACGTGTACATTATGGTGTTTTAATATCATTTTAACCATATATTCTTCAATAAAATAATATTACATGCAAATCTATTTAACTATACATTTTCCATCAATACACTATTCAAAAATACATTTTTATGAAAATAATGGAGCTCAAACAAGAGCCAATTCTATCAAATAATGGGGGTATTCCAATTGAAAAATATGACTCTTGCATACCCGATGTGATTGGTTCAAATATTTGCACTTCTATTTTGTAAATTTTCAAAACAATCCTGCTTTTTGGCCAGGTTCAAAATCAGGCAACGCCCCATGTATTTAGGCCTGGTTTTGAACCTGTCCTGATGGCTTTTTTATTTTCAAAATGTGTTGATTTAAATCAATCGATTCACTCGATTTGACGTGTCATTGTTGATTCAATTATATATTTGTCCATTTATATTTGAATGAACTGAATAATAATAATACATTTATCAAGTTTTCTATAGAGGGACCAATTGAATTCAAATTTAATAACTCGCCAAAATTGTGTTGGGGAATACATCGATTATATGCATATTATATTCACAAAAGCATATTGTTTATTTGCATATAATCGAAACGTAATTTCGACTTATCGAAATAGAATTTGAAAAGCAAAACAATAATAGTTATCGAATCCGAATGTATGAATATGGATTCATCTCTTTCGATTCTTGAACGAAATCAAGTTATTATTTGAATCAAACCTCGCAGAACAATCATATAAATAATGTTAATCAGTGTCTGAAATCAAACCATAATTAAGAGAAATCAGAAAATGAAGGAAGAAAGATACAAGTGATGAATTTTTGGACAAGGCAAGTGTTTGACACTTGGTCCTTAAGATGAATATGTCTCGCATCGGTGCTAACGGTTTTCCAGCAATCATCTTCGAAGATAAAACGATCACGTCAAGCCATAGGAGCACTCCAAATGACTTCGACCAGGAACTCGAATGAAATTCTCTCTCTACCATAAACATGACTTTGATACAAGACATAATTATTTCTACAAAGTATTTTAAGTAACTTGACATGAAATAAATAATATGGAATTATGGAATGAAATGAAATTCTTAAAATTAAATCCAAACATATAGGGTTAATATATAGATGTTAAAAATGTTTGTCTCAAAAGATACAATCTATGGAAAAGACACAACTATTGGAATTAATCTCTATATTTAAAGAGACACATTTCTTGAAAAATGATAATATCAAAAATCATAATCTTTTATATAAAAAGACACATTTTCAGCCAAATAATTTCTAAAATATTCCATAATATTCTACGCACTCTTTCAATAATTCACGTATTTAAGTGATTTAAATTTGACTTAATTTTTCATTTACCAGATAATACAAAATTTCCCGCAAAATTCCAACTAATTGTGTTTTAATTTGGAATCTTGTTATATTTTCAAACCCACCTCGACTTTTTCCGAGGCCTAATCAAAGTTCACCCAACTTGGGGAATTGGGACTGTTTATCTTTGTCTTTCCTTCTCCGTTAAACAAAGCTTTAGAACTAATTTAAATATCATGTGCCAGAACATGCAAAATAATAATAGTCTAATAATCACTTGTAGATTTTGAGACGCGTACAAAAATGAAACACCATTTACTTACAAGAAGCCGGGTCTAACACGAGACTTCTTTTGCCCCATTTGCCTCCATATTTTACAATATCTCTTGCTTCGAAAGTTTTATAGCAATAAATATAACAATTATTTCTGGTAGGTGTTTTTATCGACTACTCACAACATGTGGGTGATTCTGTACATCGAGACTAATTCTAAATATAAAGCATTGTTATCAACTGTCAACGTCATCTTTTTCATCATTTACCCATCTACTGTGAGTAATCGGTAGGGATTTTGTGAACCTCTAGTACACGAAGAATAATCCTAAACCCCTGTTTGGACCACATTATTTGGGCAAAAAAATGAAAAATTGTACCATTATTAATAATTTCTAGCTGCAATTGTTGGCCTCTTCTTTCAGGTGTGGGCTCAAATGACTGCAACAATCACATTTTTTCTTTTAATGGAATGGAATCATTATCAAGTGTCAACGTCATCTCTCTCATCATTTAAACGAAAAACAAATGAAATTGTTGCATCATTTGGATCAAGACAGCTACCAAGCCTACCATTTTTCGACTTAACCATTTTTCGATTTTTCGACCAAGTGTTTCATATAATTCACTTCATTGTCCAAATTTGCCCTTGACATGTTATTATAGGCAAATGCATCCAATCGATTTCCAATTGTCCAATAAATGCAAATTAATGTCTGACAAAGTAACTTCAACTTTTGCATTTTTTAATTAGTTTTTCACTTTAGATTAATGAGATTTTGGGTAAAATGATCTCTAAACGGCGGCTAAATTCATAAATCAATCAAATCACAAAACCAATGATTCTCCTGTTTATTCCTGAAATATATAATAATAATATAATAATACGCGTGGTCTGCTTAGATGTCCCTCGATAAATTGGGTGATAGGCCAGTGAAAATTTCTGCAAAACTGGAATCTAATATCCATGGCTAACAATTCCAAATTACATGTAGTGATGTTCCCATGGTTAGCTTTTGGTCATATTATTCCATTCCTTGAGCTCTCTAAATTCATAGCTCAAAAGGGTCACAAAATCTCATTTGTTTCCACTCCAAGAAATATTGATCGTCTCCCAAAAATCCCTTCTCATTTAGTTTCTTCCATAACCCTAGTTAAGATTCCTCTGCCTAAAGTTGAAGGACTCCCTGAATCTGCAGCGGCAACCATGGATATCAGGAATGAAGATATACCCTATTTGAAGAAAGCATTTGATGGGATGGAAACTGAGTTGACTCGTTTCTTGGAAAACTCACTTCCAGATTGGGTTCTCTACGATTTTGCTCCACACTGGTTGCCTCCAGTTGCAGCAAGACTTGAAATTTCTCGTGCCTTTTTTATGATAATGAACGCATGGTTTTTAGCTTTCTTTGGGCCATCTGAGATCTTGATTAACGGGTCTGATGAAAGGAAAAAAGCTGAAGAGTTTATGATTCCACCAAAGTGGGTCCGATTTGAGACAAAAGTGGCTTATCGAAGATCCGAAGCAAACTGGATCGTCGCATCAAATCAAAAGAATGACTCAGGAGTTTCAGATATTTATCGAGGAGGTAACGTAATTCATGGGTCCGAGGTTATATTCATAAGACACTGCAACGAGTTTGAACCGGATTGGTTGAAATTACTTGAAGAGCTTCACCATAAGCCAGTTATTCCAGTAGGTTTAATGCCACCCCAAGTGGAAGAAGATGACAGTCAATCATGGGTTGCAATCAAAACTTGGCTTGATGATCAAAATATACAGTCAGTTGTTTACGTAGCATTAGGGAGCGAGGTGACTCCGAGTCAAGATCAAATCTATGAGTTAGCTCTTGGATTGGAGTTATCGGATGTTCCCTTCTTTTGGGCACTGAGGAAGCCATCTGGGTCGGACGGTTCCTACTCGGTGATTTTACCAGACGGGTTCGAGGAGAGAGTTAAGGGTCGGGGTATGGTGTGGAAAAGTTGGGCACCTCAGCTGAAGATATTGAGTCATGACTCGGTGGGTGCTTTCTTGACTCACTGTGGTTGGAGTTCTTTTATAGAGGGTCTCTCTTTTGGTCATCCATTAATTGCCTTACCTTTTCTGGTTGATCAAGGTTTGAATGCTAGAATCATTGCTGACAAGCAGGTTGGCATAGAAGTCCCGAAAAACGAAGAAGACGGA